CTCAAGGGTCAGGAGTTAGGCTAAGGCTCAAGGGTCAGGGGGTTAGGTTTAGGGTCAAGGGTCAGGGGGTTAGGTTAAAGCCCCCACTATACTCCCACGTACGTACGTCCGTGCTGAGGTACGCGTGTACGTACGCGGAGGGTTGAGACTTCATGCTTGAGCGTCCACCCCGAGCGGCTGTAGAGCAGCTCTACAGACAAGGGGTGTTTACCTTCGGGACAAATTGAGGTTGCCAATTGGTCATTTTCTGACACACCTACTGGATTGATTGACAGGTCCAAAAAAAAGAAAAGAAATGAGAGCTGGCAGCCCCAGCCGCAGCGGTGTTCTGTGTTTATATGTTGTTTAAAAAAAGTTCTAAAAAATAAAAAAAAAACAGGGAGCACTGGCCCTGCAGCCCACACATCAGACCAGCCCAACAGGAAATCTCCAGACCCTCCCGCAGCCACGCTGGGACTGATTTTAATTAGCTCGTGACAAATTCCTTCATTTCTCACCATTTCAGTCATGGCATTAATGAAGAAGGAAGAGATCATATTTTCTTTTTTTTTTTTTTTTTCATTTAGCCTTTATTTATCCAGGTTAGTCTCATTGAGCCACGAGAACTCATTTTCAAGAGAGACCTGTTTTAGGGAGCACATGGTGATCGCTTGCCTCTTAGCAAAAAAAAAAAAAACAACAGAAAAGGCCAGATTAGGGATTTTCATTCATTCAACCTTTATTTAGACTAATCCCACTGAGCCTGGAGGACTCATTTACAAGAGAGACCTGAAAATGAAGAAGGGGAATTTAATACATTGGTGTTGCATATAAAACAGTCCGTCACTGGGCAGTTTATTGTGTTACACCGCGTAGGCAGTTGTAAAAATTGAGCTTTGCGCGGACATGCCCTACGGAGGTACACGCGTACCTCTGCGTTTGTCGGCACGCACCTCCACGTACGGACGTACGCAGGAGTATACTGGGGACTTTAGGCTCAATGGTCAGGGGGTTAAGTTTAGGGTCAGTGCTCTGGGTCAGGTGTAAGGTTAGGTTTAGGAAAAGGGTTAAATAAAGTTACGGAAAAAAGCTTCCGGTTTTACACATGGGCGAAGCTGCATATTATCAGTGATAAGAACGTACCTTTAAACCTAGGAGGTACAGGAGGGACAGTCTGAATGCAACCTTTGGGGATGATAACGACTAATAATGGCCATGTAATGGGCTGATAACATTCCCAAAGCCGCTGTCAGGACAAGTCTCAGCGATTCACTTACACCTCAAAGATAAGGGAGACACTTTTGAAGACCAAAATGTTCATATTTTGGAGAGCAGATAATATGAGACGGGGTGGATGAATCGTTTTAAGTCAAATAAGAAAAAAGAAAAAAACTTTAAACAGAGGAGGATTTACACTTTAAAAAAAGTTGCATTAAAGCTAACAGTCAGTTTTATTCTAATTCACATCTTCATGCATGTGACCAGAACATCTCTTCTGATCCAGGTAAACAAAGACTTTAATGGTTCTCTATTGTGAGGGGCAAGTAGTTCATATTGCTTTTGTCTGGTTGAAAATAATGCCCTGGCTTAGTTATCAATACCTGCCTGCACCAGTTCTGCCTCCCAACTCAAGATGGAAAACAACTGGCACATTGGTAGTCCCACTCCAGACAGGCACGTCTGGTAGGCAGACACATTGTAAATACATCACCAACTTAAAAAAAAAAAAAAAAAAAAA